TAGCTTATCGTCAAAAATACTAAAGTGAATTTAACATAATTATACTAAATGTGAAGATCAAGATGGCATGGCCCTTATTTTGGTAGCAGGCCTATTGCACTAGATAAAAGTGATCAAATTTTGTATTAGCACCTTGGTTGTGGAGCCAAAGAGACCTCGAAGGACGCACTCCGTTCTAGGTCTTCTGCCAGAGTAGTCATTATTATTTACAGCATCGGACCAATGATTTAGCACATTCTCAAACTTTTTGCCACCAACGTCAATGAACTCTACTTACCTTACCACCAAAATATATCTCGTCAAAGAGACAAATGAAATCCGTACTTTGACAAACTTTCTGTTGAGAAGTTGTGGTATCTCTTCTCCTGTCCTGATATATTTTCCCTTTCTGTGGATCTGTATCCTCGTGTAAATCTACATTAAAATCGTAATTGCTACCTTGTTTATTCTGATCTTGCGTTGAGGTGGACCCTTTCGAGTGGACTGAGATGCTAGCAAATTATGGTGGATAAGTGTTATTCAGTAAACTTGTGTTTTTTGAACGTGTGAATATGTATTAACTATTGCACCTAATTTGAGTGAGAACGTAATAGCTACATACAATTTTAAAAATCGAGTTACATTAATCTAGTAAGGAAAGCCTAAAAGTAAAACTTGACAATGGGACTATATCCCCAAATTTTTGTAGTTAAATAAAATTAATAAGACCTAAGGGCAGCTAGATTGAGCAAAAGTATGTGATAAAAAAGGTGCTTTCAAAAAGGTCAATAAACTGGATTAGTTGAAATCATAAATATGTCTCAATAGTATCAATATATCTTGAGTAAGAACTATATCGATACTATCTTAAGAATTGAATGAACACACCTACCTAGTACGAATACAAGTAACGTAGTGGACTTTAATGGTAAATACAGATTGGTTTCATAAGCAATTCTACTACAAAAGGTAATGTGGCAGAGGAGTAGCTTGCCTTAAAAGTCACGTCTGCCCTGTAAACAACATGAATTCGTGTTTGCGACTTAGTTTGTCCTTTAAGTGCTCAACCTGGCTTCGAATCCCGTTGGGAGTGCTGTTGAGTTATAAACTCTCGTCAACCCTGGGAGTTCGTGCATTTGTTAAAAAACAATGCTTCAAAACTCACTATTATTGTAGGGCCTATTTGTAGAATTGTGGAAAAATACAATTATCAGCGATCATTATCATCGCCCAACTTAATCATCTTATTCGACCTAGAGTGAACACAATTCTTATTCGGCTTATTTGAAATTTTGAAAGAAAAATTTCATCAGAAAAAAAGATATTCCGTGGGTCTTTTTAGCTACTTTATCACACTTATCAAAAACTGCTTCCGCTAAGACCCTGAAACAAATTTAAATGTTTGAAAGTTAAAATACTTACTTTGAGGCGCATTTATTATAAGGGAATGAAGTTTCACGAGCTGATGGAATGACAGGTAGATAATTAGCTATAAAAATAGAAAATAATAGGGCAAATTTAAGAAAAATAAGCAAATCTAAAATAATGTATAAACCCTGACGAAAATTAATTACTTGTTCATCTGTATCTGAGAGAAGGTAGCCACCAGAGGAGTCAAATGCATGGTCAAGGGGATGATCGTCACAACAGTTAAGACACTCGCAGTTTGGTTTATTGAGGAAGTGCAAAATATCCAACTTGAAAGGATAAAAATATAAATATACTCATATGACTCACAAAACGTGAAGCAAAGAGACGAGAGAAATAACTCAAGGCTTACCTGGCCCTTTACAACCAAATCAGATTTAGATTCCGCTTCTCCTGCCAATTCTTTAACTTTATTAGCAAGAGCATCAGTGTTAGCTCCTAATAGTTGGGAAACGCGTGTGTTTCCACGCAAGAATATAAAAGTTGGCATTGAACGAACCATATAGGTTGCCGCAATGTCCTAAGACATAAAAAGGGGCAAATTACATGTAATTAAGATAAAATCTGCTTATAGAACAATTACATAAATCAATGAAGACTAGATGGAATTAAGCATACGAAATCAGATGCTATATAACATAAATCTGCAATGTATAAGGAAAGTAAAGAGCTCAAAATTTGAGACCGATAAGGAACATTTTAAAGGCCTATGGTAAAAACCTAAGTGACACAGGATGCGGCTATGGCAATATGTGTATGAAAAAAGGATTTAATTATTTAAGATAGCTATTTTTATTTGCATATTTATGAATAATATCCTTATTTTACGTTTGTTAAGATGATGCCCTATGGGTGGTTCAAAAGTTTAAAGCAAGATCCATAAGCCAAATTTTAGTTTGTAGCTATTCAAAACATTCAAATCTGAATGTTACCAAAAATAACAGCTGAAGTTAACATGAGAATTAAGAAACAGCTTGACTTTGGCATTAAAGTTTGATCTTCCATATACCACAATAAAAGATATCTTTCACAGGCTGCAGCGCTCTTA